GTAGAGCGTGTAGCCAGAAATTTGTGTATCGACTATAAGCAGACATGTGCAGCAACATTTTTGTAGCTCTTTGAAGGCGTGAGCAAGACTGTTGTATTTTCCGGTCGACCGCAAACAGTAAATTAGTATAAGAACTGGAGCAAGTACACATATAGTTTGCTCAAGGAACAAAATAATAGTTCCTTCAGCTTATTTCCAGATTACTTCGCTGGTAACATGTGCGTCGGTGGCACAGTGGTTAGCACTCTCGCCGACCATGCACATGGCCTGAGATTCGATCCCCTACCGGCGCACACCTGATATCTACGGTCGGCCTGCAAAATTTGGGCTACCGATATCCATGCTGAAAATTCCATACTTGTACCAAAAATACAGTGTGGAATCAAGCTGTAATCAAAAAAAATAAAAATAAAGATCAGAAAATTACGGCCATGTTTTCACAATGTGTGCGGGGTTTTCAAAAATGAGGCTAGCCAGATATGTAACGTTCCACATAATCTGTGTGATTTCAGTTCGAAGAGACGAGAAGGATGATGAACTTCACCAGACGCCTTGGTGAGATTATAGTACATTGGCACCACTACCTTTCATCTATAGTGTCTGTGTGATGGTCTAAAAATTCTAGTTGGTAGGGGATAAAGGACTTTGCGAGCAAGTGTTAGTGTTGTAATGCGCCAAAAAGAAAATGTTGGAGGAGTTGTGCCCATACGTTGTTTTCTATGACCCTTCCCATAACTTTTGGGAGAACGGTGGTTAGATTTACGCTTTATTCTAAGGTGATATTTATATAATATGCAGGATTTTCAGCGGGTTTACTGCATAAAATTTTCCCTTCGTTCAGGACCTCCAAATGAAAGATTATTTGACAGCAGATCTTGATACAGTTCTGTGTGACCTGAAGCGCAAGCCAATCCATTATGGTATTCCCTCCTTTTTCCCTTAGAGAAATACACGAAGTTCAGGGGTACATTTTTTGAAGCAAGGACAACACTCAAGAACGGTCATGTCACGCACTGGTTTCAGCTGCCGTTGAGGGTAATGCTTTTCCTCAAGTTTAGTAAAAAATTGGGAAACTGCAAGCTGTAAATATTTTAAATATGCCGCAGAATAGGCGAATCTATGAGAGGTCATACTTTGCTAGACTTATAAGGAAACTGAATAGGAGAAACTATAAGCAAAATGTTGGTGGGGTTTTTGGTAGCCTAAGTTCCTAGCAGGCTGCCTTAACATACTAGGCATCTTGTCTATCCTGCAACTACCGGAGGGTCTAAGAGACCTTATTTTATCCTGTAGAGTGTGCAGATCAAAACAAACTTCGAAGCACCTATGAAACATTCTGTCTGCTGTGTTTTCGGTTTGATGGTCGGCATTGGTGTTACAGCCAACGTATACATGGTTTTCGACCAAGATGAGAAGTTGTGGTCCTGAATCCATATGGAAAACGAAACGCAGTTGTTCCAAATTGATTTGCAACACTAACAAAATCATCGAAGTTACTGCGAGATTCTTTGTACTGTGTAAAAACATGCATCCTGTAATCGCGATACAAACATCCTATTTCGAGGTTATTCAGAATCCGAATATTAAGAGCATTGTGGCTGAACACAAAATGACTCGCAGTTGACAAACATGCGCATCCGGGCAGAAATGTGTAAAACAGTCCGATATGTACCACGAATATCCTAATTTACGTGGAAATGTAAAGTAATGTACACAGTACAACTTTAGTATTCGAGGGCAGAATATCAGACGTGGGTACTAGTCTTTTTATAGCTTAACAGTTCTTAGGGTTTCTGCGTCCATCAGTTATGGGGAAGAGTCAGATAAGTCACATTAACAGTATGTGGTAGCCGGGATATTGGCCATCGGAACTGATGGCATTTGGCCACTAGAGTTCACATTTGGTTGGGTGTGCTGTCTATGTCAACCCTCTGCGGTCGGCAGCGATACACGTTTATTATCATTTTCGGGTAGCGGTGCCAACTGTGATATATTAGGCAGGGTGGCGTTAGCTGATCAGTAGATATGGTGGCGGTCACTAAGGTGAATCGCCCCATTCTGCACGAACAGCAATATACAAATTAAAGGCTCGAGATATTTCTGATTTTTATGAGGGCTTAGATCTTTATCTTGAAAAAGATAATAATGAATGCCTTGACAGATCATGTTTCTACCTTTAAATATATACCATTCGCTCAGCCTATTGTTGAGATGCGACCATGTGGGCTCTGAACAGATTTATGGGGCATCTTATAAACTAACTTGCTGTCCATTGTCGGATCTTTAAATACCACTTCACAATGTCTTATCTCATTTATTTTCTAATAACGTCTTTACTTGATCCTCATTATATCCCATTAAACCTAACATTTTATGGCTTTTTATGAATTTGGTTCGACTTATTCTATTCTTATTCTCTATAGGGTACGGTTGTGCACCAAATGCACAAAAAGGCATAAAATAAAAAAACCGGCATGAGGAAAAAATGTATTAAAATCAAAAGTGGACATCATGATAGTGCAAACTGTACAGGAAGCATTATGCATTGCAAATGAACGTTGTCAGCCTAGGGAGTTTCCTTTATTAATGCATTTATTAGTGATACTTGCACTTACCCATTTCATCACACTTTATCGATTCACCTTAGCACTTTTACTTTTCTAAAAACAGCTTTCAATCCGTTGCAAACGTTGTACTTACCTCAATATTGGTTGGCATGAATTTTCATGTAAATTTATATGTTTATATGAGAATATACATTATTATTATTGTTATTATTATCGTATGCTGACAACCACGGGATGAAAACGAAACGAAGTCGATTTTCCCGCTCAACCTGGAGGACAATTGTACAATTCAATAACTATACATCCTAGTTCAGACAATGTGTATTTATATATTTATCAAATATTTAACTGTTGAAACATTATAAACTTGTAGACAATCTACGATTTGATATTATATCATACTTGATCGTGCCTGTAAAAATGGCATGCATTTTCATGTAAATTTATATGTTTATATGAGAATATATATTATTATTATAATATGAAATCATATGTATGTGCAGCGTGAATACTACCTAGGGATTTCTGATAGCAGTCAGGGGTTTTGTGATATGGCTTTGTGAATTTCCTAGCATTCTTCTCGATTGGCATTGATCGAGTGATAATTTCAACTGACCATATCCTGTTTGTTTAAAAGATGTTAGTCAAAGAGTTGATTTTTCCATTTAGTCATATTAAAACTGATTGTAACTGGGCAAAATGTATCCTTTGATAACTGCGCGAGATGGTGACAAGTACACAGTACTTCTCTTATACAATATGTATTGAAGTGGAGTTTTACCTTGCCTAAATTGGCACTCTAAGGTGTTTGTATACAACCATGTTCTGAATGACGAAATGAATTGAGAATAATTTACTCACTTTGCGTTCTGTAGGATTCATTGTTCAAAAAATATTGTAGAAGGGCCCAAAACGGTTTTGGACTAAACGGTAATGAAACTTTTTGGTTGAATGCTCAACAGTACATGTTCGGCAATGCTGAAAACGATTACAATTTCTTCTAGAAAGACAAAATGTATTTAAATGGAGAAATCTGACTGGAAATGACTGCGCTTGAACTGTCTTCTTTGATGCTAATTCTAAGACTACTTTTTAATACTTCATATCAAGTGGAAGACTGGGCGGTGGCCAGTGGCATGACTTTCAACTTGAAAAAGTGCAAAGTAGTGAAGTTGCGCACCTGTAGACTGCAGAATGCAAGTTACACCCTGTGCAATGAAAGCTTGTCCTGCACAACGTCAGAACGCGACTTAGGTCTAGTTCTAACGGAAAAAATGGACACAAGCGTGAATTACACAGGGGATGTAGCGAGGGCATATGCGGTCATACACTTTACGCATAGACAGTTAGGTGCACTCACTCCTGAGCTCTTTCTAAGGTTGTACAAAACATACGTCAGGCCACACCTTGAGGTGAATAATATTATTGCACCCCCAATGCTGAGAAGAGACACCAACCTCTTGGAAAGAGTCCAACGACAGGCAACAAAAGGAGTGGTTGGTCTCCGAAACAAACCATATGATGAAAGGCTGAAGAAATTAGGCCTGTTCACACTTAGCTACCGTCGGCTTAGGGGGGATTTGATTACTGCCTACTAAATAACAAATAACCAGAATCACCCAAACAAAGGTGTTCTGCCATTGAGTAGGTATAGGCTCCCACGTGGAAATCCCAGAAGGATAGCTCACCAGAGGGCAAGGACTCGGGTGCGCTCCCACTTCTTTCCACTGCGGGTTTGCCGTCCCTGGAATTCCTTGCCGGCAGATGTAGCTATGGCACCGTCTTTGGACGCCTTTAAGCGAAGGCTGGACAATCCTGCAGCGATACAAGGACTGCATCCAAATGGCCTATCTCCTTAAAATAGCATATACCAATCAGGGGTAGATAATTAAACTCGTCGTTTTACTTCTTTACATTCTCTCCCGTCTTACTCTCCTGACAACTTGTTAATATTATAATTACTATTATTAATACTATTACCGATATATATATTATTCTTCAAACTTAATGAGCTGGCTGTTGTTACATTTCCTATTTTCGTTTCTGTCTCTTAGTCTGAATAGCTTCACTAATTATATCTATTATTATTACTATCTCTTTTCTCTTGTCGACGATACCGAAGGACTAATTGGCGAAATGATCAACTCCAATCACAGTAGTAACAGTCTTAACATACCTCATACTACAAACCACATATAATTAATTCCAGCACTACTCCCTTTGGAGTCAACCAGAGCTACGACAATCGAGTGGTGGGACAAGCTACGCAGAAGTTTACCGAAGATCAGGAACCTATACCTTACAATCAAGAAGCGAGCACAAAGAAATCGAATTGGTTTATACTAGCTCGTAAAAACGATATTGGATATTGGATATTGAAGGGGCTACTTTTCAAAATGTGTACTATGTTATCGTACCAACACACAGAAAATGCATAAGTTAGGGAATGTATTAGTTTTGTGTAATCACAGGAATATCTTTGCGTCAGAGCTGGAACAATTACGGAATTCACTGAATGATGGATTAGGGTCTGCGGAAATAATATCTATCAGTGATTACTTGCCAGATGATTCGAATTCCCGACTTAAGTTAACCTCTAGAATTTCCAATCATATACGCGTTATTTTACTTGACCTAATTTCTTCACATGAGACGGTTGTCTTTTTTATCTCAGCATGCACTTCAAACTTATGTGGCTGCTTGCTAAACACTCCTGAGTCAGATCTAAACCCGGAAACTGAGTGAGTTTGAATACCAAGTATGTTATTCACAAAAGTGTTTCAAGGTCGTCCTTCAGACTCAGTATTTCCGAAAAATGCTGCTGGATGATCGAGGAACTGTACAAACCCTATTCCATATATGAATTAGCCGCTCTTTTTGCTGGTGGAGTTATGCCAAGTGCTTCTAGGTGCAAGCATGTGTTCTATTTTTTCAAGAGATCATTGATAAACAGTAAAGAGTGAGTAAAATTTCATCTTATTTATTATTCAAAGTTAAGTAGACCCGTAAAATCGAGTGTAGTATCCGTTCCAGAAGCGCTAAGCAAATACTTTTTTCATGATTTATTCTTCAAAGATCACGATATAATGTATCTGCTAACTTCTAACAGAAAGGATATTCACTGGACTTAGGGTAAGAAAACTCATACTTTATGCTCTCTGCTGGACATACCAGTTATCTTACTGGGGAATTTAAGTGGGAGATATACTGATCAGTATATTCGTGAAAGTTTTCTATGTGTATTAAAGAATATTTTTTAATTGAAGCCTGTAATTCTGAGAAAATGTGGAATTTGGAAGGTCAGTGTTTCATTATTCCTGACAGAGTTTTCAGATGGATTGAGGGACACTGTCAGTCACAAATGGGTACTCAGTGGGTATGGTAGAGGTTTAGCTATTGCATATATAACCACAGAGGATCAGTTTTAAATTCCACCATTATAAGTGCGGATATCTATCTGCCTGTTCAAAGTGCTTATTTAAAAATTTACCTTCAGGTGAAGACACTGTAACATAATCAAGCCAGTTCCCTAAAATGCGGAGAAGCGTTCTATTTAGCCAAGTCCTGGAATACGTCGTTATTTAAAATTACTAAACCTCTATTTTATTTCGAAGTTACATTAAATAATCAAAAGGCAGACCAGTATTTTGTCTAATTGAGATAAACAAGATCAATAATTACAGTTAACGAATGATGGGAGGTTTTTAAGGTAGTTCAAAACTTAACATTGCGAAAGAAAATTCTAAGGGTACCGAAATTTTAACAGTGAGTACTAAAAGTGCTGGGATTTGTACAGCATTTGTTGATGTTCTGAGCTTTTAAGGTTAATTAGTAGAAACACAGTTTTTCGTTCAGTGAAGAAATTTCTTTTCAACGACTTCATTTTCAAGATTTACAGTCGTATTTATGTTACAGAGAAAGGTTACTAAGTGGCGCTAGTTAATTGCTCAGTCAATATACATATATATTTGATAATAATAACGGTAATTAAAATGTTATACGGCGTAGAGTTGAAGTGAACAAATTACAGAATTATTAAAGATTGTTTTATAAGTGGATTGATGTCGAAAATGGTTTGAAAATGTCAAGTGTTGTCTAAAAATTTAAAATTAGGAGTACGATTACGATAAGGATGAAGATGTGAAGTGAAGTGGAAAGAATTCAAGTGGTAAAATAAAGTAAAAACTAGAAAGAACAGTACTATGACCAAGGTAAGGAAAGGGGTTTGACAAAACGCTTTTGAACACATAATTTATGTTTCCGTTCATGTATAGCTAAAGCTTCGGCTATGCATAAGTGGAGAAAACGTAAACTTTTGAAGCGATTCGATTTTGTCATGTAGATAACTTTGAAAAATGAATCACGTGGGGCTAAATGACCAGACTCTAACAGCTCATCACAAATAGACGACTTCGTAGTTATACGTTCGCCTTTCATGAACCAAACCGGATAGTGTTCAGCTACACGTTTTCGGAGATTACGCTTACAACATCGGTTTACCAGAAGCCAACATTCACTGGGCAGTACACTAACTTCAACAGTTGGGTACTTTTGGGGAGAAAGAGAAATCTTATTCATCCCTTATGCTCCAGTCCCTAGAGTCTGATGAGTATACGAAACATCAGAATAAAAAATACAAGTTAATTAAAGAATATTGTGACAGTGTATCATACACATACAGATAAATGAGCTATAAAGGTTATGGCTTACTTGAAAGTACAATTATAGTCCACTGGTACAAATTAATAATGGGATCCACAGATCAGGTTCACTGATGGCGTCGTCTCCACTGGTAGAAGTTGTTTTCCGATTGCTGAATGGTCTTTGGACGAGGACGAGATATTCCTGTAAGTTCCAAAGAATACGATAGTTATTAGCGGAGCCAGTAGATGGTACGAATCAGTAGGAAGAAGAAGGGACGAACAGCACGACTAAATCTTCGTTAGAAATCCAAAGTTATATATATATATATTTGACAAAGAAGTCGATTAAATAAGAGTTATGTACAGTAGGCCCATTCGTGACGTTTGACAAAAACTGCACTAATTTGTTATTCAGAAGTCCACAAACCTCTTCACAGGTGTGTTACAATCGCCTACCGTCTAATTGCAGTCCTAGTGTAACGTGGACATCATTTCACCTACTCCAGCTGAATTGACAAATGCACTAACTGTTCAATCCAATCCACGGCAAGATAGCGAGACCTATTAGTTGAACTTTAGGAGTGTCTGAGGATAGTAGCAAGGAGTCACTAGATAAGGTATTTGTAGTAATTAATTGTAATCGTAGTATTAGTATTTTGAGATGACCGAATTACAAGAATCCAAACAAAACACAGAGAGGGCGGAATTCAGGAATTTGTACTTAGCGGAATTCTAATGCAATTCATATAAGAAATATTAACAATCGACAGTAAGTGTTTAAACAATACAGAGATAGAAATAGTCAATCACCACAGTATTCAAGGCGCTGATGGTATTCAGGAATCCAGGATATTTCTTACTGACTGACGTAGATACTGATTATTCTTGTTTCTAATGAAAAGGCAGGAATTTTCTAGTGATACTCGGACGAAAACCAATAACAAAAAGAAGAGATGAAAACTAAACTGCAAGAAATAAAGCAGGATTCTCACCTATACTAGGTTGCATTTTTCAGGTCAATTCTCAACAGATTTCAAAACACAGACTCACTTACGTTTAACGTCCGGTATATTTCTGCAAACTGAGGACACAGTTTGAGTCTGTCGTTAAATTCTGGTAACAGTATTTAGATGAGGTGAAATTAGATTGGAACAGAATAAAGAGTAGTTAGATTCGAACACAGTAACTACCCATGAAGTCGCCAACTATTCATCTGAGCCGCGTATTTCAGTACTTTTGATGAAGTGGCTAAAATCACTTACAGCGGTTCAGATGTATTCACTTATTCGCCTTAAAATTCTAAGAACATCCTATGCGCTTTATGAAATTATTCTCTCCTCTAAATACCTCTTTCTACTGTTTTACTTTAGAGTTTTTCCCCTTACTTTGCATCTGCTTGAACTTGAACGAGTGGAACTGACAGTTGATTGGTCAATCACATTAGCAAAAGTGTTGTTACAAGCTTTTGTTATTTTATATATATAATAACACCTGTCTTCACTGTATTATTGAATTTCTACACTTAGGAAGTTTTGTTTGCAAGTTGGCAGTGACGTCACGTCTACAGAAGTTCAAAATAATGTTCTATTGGATTTAAACGCACTGGTTGAATGACAACGTATTTACCTTCTAACGCGTAAACCCTATGCTCAGTTTCTGGTGTAGTCATGTTGGCGTGATCTTCTAAAAAGGGTTTAAATTAGTATTAAACATCCATTTATGACTTTGTGACTTTTAGCGGCCCCCTAATTTATGTCTCCACTGCAGAAATTAGATGAATTTTAATTTGTACACCTATATAAATATTTCAATTTTACTATCAGAGGTTGAAGTTTATTATCGTGAGAAGGCTAGGGACTTCTTGAGCTTCGTATATAATCAAATTTTTGCAATGCCTCCCTCAAAAATCAAAATATAACAGCTGGTTGACCATGAAAAGTCTAGGAAGCAGAAAAAAACATGTGGCAAATTTATCGAATTTAAATCAAACTGTTTTAATATGCTATAACCATCCACTAAAATGATTATAGGCGAACAAATTTTATTGATTACGACTTATAGCGAAAGGTGAACAAGCGACGTAAATATTAAAAAAAATTTGTGATTATAGCTTGTTTCCACACCGTAGTTTTGATACAAGTATGGATATTTCAGCATGTGATGTTGTTAACCCAAATTTTGCAGACCGACGATTGATATTGGGTGTGCTTCGGCAGGGGATCGAACTCCGGACCATGTGCACGGTTAGCTAGAGTTCTAACCTCTGTGCCACCGACGCACAGATGTATAAAATAAGAAATGCTCAAAGATTGATACACTCAGATATAGTGTTAAGCGACAATAAACATTGGATCTTAAAGTATCCAAAAGGATTGGAGATAACAGAGAGTTAATGCACACCCATCCCCATGATATACACATTTCACTTCCTCTAGAAGACTCGATTTCTGAAACCAAGAAGATTAGATTTACATATCTGGCATAACTCAAAGCAGCAGTAAAAGAGTATATAAATTACTGATAAAATATTTAAAACAATTAGTTCCCTTTATGAATTTAGATAAAGCAATAAGAAGACGTAATTTGTCTGAATCGTGTTGCAATATATCTGCGCAACACATTTCGAACAATCTGATCACACACAGACTTGTCATAGGAATGTATATGAAATTAATAAAGAGTTAAGAGGTCAGAAAATAGACCACTTAAGTCAAGTTAAAAGGACATATTGAAGGTCAAAATAACAATGAAGACCACTAAACCAAATAACAGAGGTAATAGTACGTCTGCCCTGGTATGTATCAAAACAAAGTTTACCAAGGGAAGTTTGTGTGATGATGGATTGTTGCTTTGACAGCATAAAGGTGGTTTAAACTTTATAATCGCCAGAAAGGACTTCCACAAACTTTAGGATACGTCCCAAACACGTTTTATAGATGGGCTTAAAAGATTTGTTAACGTCAATTCTATGCCCTGTCTCTATAACATGTTTCGCAAAAGAGGAGCTAGGTCTCCTGTTCTCACGATTAATGGGTTCTGAATATTCTATTTGTTTCTGGAGCCGTTTAGGGAAAATGCTCTCAAGCCAGCTCTTACTTGCAGAGATCCATGAGTCCTCCCTATGCGTATGTATCCACACGTAGACTCAAATTACTAAATCCAGTGGGATGTGACATCATGTTTTGCATGTTCAAAGGGCTTAAATGGATATGTTGGCTTCATATTCTCAATTATTATGATATTCGCTGCATAAAAAGTCTTTTAACCAACAGCGTTCAGTCTTTGTCTAGTTATCAAGCTGCTATGATGGATACACATACATAGGGAGGACTCATCGATTTCTGCAAGTGAGAGCTGGCTTGAGAGCATTTTCCCTAAACGGCTCCAGAAACAAATAGAATATTCAGAACCCATTAATCGTGAGAACAGGAGACCTAGCTCCTCTTTTGCGAAACATGTTATAGAGACAGGGCATAGAATTGACGTTAACAAATCTTTTAAGCCCATCTATAAAACGTGTTTGGGACGTATCCTAAAGTTTGTGGAAGTCCTTTCTGGCGATTATAAAGTTTAAACCACCTTTATGCTGTCAAAGCAACAATCCATCATCACACAAACTTCCCTTGGTAAACTTTGTTTTGATACATACCAGGGCAGACGTACTATTACCTCTGTTATTTGGTTTAGTGGTCTTCATTGTTATTTTGACCTTCAATATGTCCTTTTAACTTGACTTAAGTGGTCTATTTTCTGACCTCTTAACTCTTTATTAATTTCATATACATTCCTATGACAAGTCTGTGTGTGATCAGATTGTTCGAAATGTGTTGCGCAGATATATTGCAACACGATTCAGACAAATTACGTCTTCTTATTGCTTTATCTAAATTCATAAAGGGAACTAATTGTTTTAAATATTTTATCAGTAATTTATATACTCTTTTACTGCTGCTTTGAGTTATGCCAGATATGTAAATCTAATCTTCTTGGTTTCAGAAATCGAGTCTTCTAGAGGAAGTGAAATGTGTATATCATGGGGATGGGTGTGCATTAACTCTCTGTTATCTCCAATCCTTTTGGATACTTTAAGATCCAATGTTTATTGTCGCTTAACACTATATCTGAGTGTATCAATCTTTGAGCATTTCTTATTTTATACATCTGTGCGTCGGTGGCACAGAGGTTAGAACTCTAGCTAACCGTGCACATGGTCCGGAGTTCGATTCCATCACACAAACTTCCCTTGGTAAACTTTGTTTTGATACATACCAGGGCAGACGTACTATTACCTCTGTTATTTGGTTTAGTGGTCTTCATTGTTATTTTGACCTTCAATATGTCCTTTTAACTTGACTTAAGTGGTCTATTTTCTGACCTCTTAACTCTTTATTAATTTCATATGCATTGCAATGACAAGTCTGTGTTTGATAAAATATGATCTGATCATTCTGTTTTACTTCGTCCCAATAATAGTGGGTTAATTGAGTTTTCGGATGGATTGAGCACATTCGCCTCAGACTCCTAATAGACGAGAAGCGGAACTGACGAGGATATCAAAGCAAGAAGCAGAAAAGCAAGACAAGCTTTCATTACTCTCAAATCTGTGTGGAGGTCAACAGCACTCAGCATCAAAAATAAGATCCGGATTTTCAACTTCAATATAAAGTCAGTGCTACTAACTGCACGGATCAGAGACTTGGCGCGTCATAAAGAGCATCTCAAACAAACTAGAGACCTTCATTAACAGTTGTCTTCGCTCAATACTCAAGATCAGATGGCCGGCCAGAAAAGATCAGGAACAGGGATGGATCTCTGGCAATGAGCGAACCAACCCAGCAGGAACCGATTGTGAAACAAATGACCAGGAAGAAATGGATATGGATTGGCTGGACATACTCTGAGAAAACAATCCATCAAGTGACATCACTAGACAGGCCATTGGTCGAGTGGAACCCGAAAGGGAAGGGGTGATTTGGTCGTCAGTGCAAGGGTGACTTGGAGAAGGTGATGTAAAGAGGAGATGAAATCATGTAGGCAGACTTGGAGCGGGGTGAAAAAGTTGGCAGAAAACTGAAGGCAGTGGAGACGCACAGCTGAAGCCCTATGTTCCTCTAGGAATTAAAGGATATAATAATAATAAAAGACGAGAATAGCATTTAGTAATATCTTCAGGCACAACCACTCGAGAGTTCCTGTCTCCTGGGAGACCATACTTATACAAAATTGCATATTTAAAAGATGATTCTTCATACATATGATTTTCATTTCAGAGATCTAGCCACCTCATTCGCGTAAATTCATTTGTATACTTGTTATTCCCAAGTAATAATCAATTTGTGTCTACCTCAACATCTCTTCTTGTCTATTTACATCAAATTGGAATGATATAATGAAGATACCATGATTGAGAACCACTTAGTTTTTTTCATATCCTCGACTATGAAAGTCTAAGTTTCATAACCTAGCATTACGATAGATAAGACAACTTTCAGTACATATGGCTACATAAGCTACAAGATAACTTGTGGGTTGAACTTTAGCACAGTTTCATTAAAACTTGATTTTTCCCCTTATTCATTTCATTTCAGGGTATTATCAATAGATTTCATGATCATGTTATTTACATCAAAATCAATAGTTTAAAATTTTACGTCGCTTGTGATACGAGAAAAGTTTTCCTAACGTGTGATAAAATAGATTATTGAGTAGTGCAAAGAATTACACGGTATTTCTGTAGAAGAAAACAGACACACGCACACACACAGAGAAGTGACAAAAATTTATTCACATATTTTATTTTACAAACTAGCTATTCGGGTCAATAATTATTTGTGTATTTTTCTGGGGAATGTCTGTTTTTTCAGCTTCAGCGCCAAAAATGGTCGTTATAGAAAAAGGTCTGAAAAGTTTGGGAATCACTAAACAGTTAGTTACCTTCGTAGCATAATAAATTTATGATAGCTCCTCCAAATTATCAATGGATGGGTTAGGACTACAAAACTTTAGTAAGGTGTTTACGTCACTTAATAAAGTAGTTGTAAGTGTTTATTGATCAGGCGGCTGGAGCGTATGTTGTATATTCTTCACCTCTGTCCGTTTACCAACAAACTACACATACCAAAGTGAGCTTAGAATGAGACAAAACGAACGGCATATACGCCAAAAATATGGGACCAGTCCGTAGAGTTGTTGTTTTAAGATTATTAAAGATTTGTTTATTTTGAGAAGACACTAGGTAGTAACAAGTATCATGTGTCTGGTCCTTTGTTTGATGCAGCAGACTGAATTCTACCAGTCAAGTTTCCCACATGGCTACTATGCTAGCTAGATGACTGGCACTCTGAATTATTGTTATTATATGGTTGGAAGCAGTCGGTAGGTAGGAAAACTCGAAACCAGCCTTCGTATTTGCTAACATTCATCTGTAAGGTGTTTCTACAATCTTGAAGGGATCATATTCACTCTGACATTCTAACCCGTTTCCAATCAAAGTATCCCACACAGGCCCATAGCAGGTCAGTTGCCAGCCAGAATACGGGTTTGAATCTCAAAAGGGGAATGAGTTCCTTCAAGACTGCAGATACACCTTGATGACTGGTGAGTGCCAACAAGCACGAAACCTAGTTGTGTAAGGCTTCCTGCCGATTGCCTCCAATTACCTAATGACAAGAATTGTTTGTCATCATGACAGGCTTTGATTCACTATGGAAGCTATCTATCGAAGTGATATGGCTCTAGACCAATCGCCAACCAATGACGCAAGCACAGTCATTTTTTAGCTTCGCTTTATTTGCTTCATCTTTTTTGCGATCACCTAATAGCATTCTACAGCATTTGCTTGTATTATTCTCAGACGTTTGTATGCTTTTCAAGAATGCGTTGCGTGATATGCGAATGTAAGTTGGTTATTTTCAGTATTGGTTTGGGTTCATATTGAATATTGGCTGTGAAGACATTGCCTAAAAAGGCAATAAAAACTTCACAGTTAAAAGTATTTAGCTCAGAGAATACATCGACTAAAAAGGCATCATTCACAGTTAAGAAAATCTCCAGAATCATTTCAATTTGTGAAGACTGGGACTACTACTACTAGTGCGTCAGTGGCACAGTGGTTAGGACTCTCGCCGACCATGCACATGGTCCGGGGTTCGAGCCCACGCCGACGCACACCTGATATCTATGGTCGGCCTGCGAATTTTGGGCTACCGATATCCATGCTGAAAATTCCACACTTGTCCAAAAATACAGTGTGGAATCAAGCTGTAATCAAAAATAAATAAAAAAAATAAATACTACTACAACCCACTGTGTGAAGTTTCATATTTTTTCTGTCCTTTTTAACTGTAAAGGTCACTGAAGCGACTGGATGAACTGAAAACATTACTTTCCAATAAAGGATTAAATGTATACGAATATGAAGATTACAAATCGATTCGATTTATTATGATGAATGAGATAATCAAGTTGAAACAGACTTTGACATTAAGATTACCTAATTCTGATGGTAAGCCTGTATTCTTGTTCATGCAATGAAAATTTTTTATTTATCAATGTCTGTTCCTTAGGAAGAAGACGTAGTAATATTAATAATAATTTGGCTTTTATTCCAGAAACAGTCCTAGTGGTACAGTGTGGAATTTTCAGCACATATCTACAATATTGCATCTAATTTTATCAAACAGTTAAAAGGAGTATTTAAAAAATATATATATAAAAACAACAACAACAACAAAAACAAAAAAACACTAAAATAATAAGAAAAAATGCGAAAAAGTGCCAAGAAGTAGAAGGGAAAATACACAACGTAATAAATAATATCGCAGTATTTTGTAGTGGAAGCTATGATATGTTTATGCGTGGTGACAGTAAAGCTATAGTTATACTAGAAGTTATGAAATGATATTAAGAATGTTTATCGCCAAGATGATCAGTTAATTTGATTGAACTACACTAAACAATCATAAAATAAACATTTCAGGTTGTGTTTTTTTATTGTCAGCACTAATGCAGTGTTTGTAGTGGTAGTGTGAGTAATCATGCATAATACAAAATTTTTAAGATGGTGATAGTGGCGTTCACAAACAAGATTGTCAGTTAAATAGTGCCGAACAAAGAACAACCACAAAACTAATATTACATGATGGTTAATGACAGGACAGTTTTGTAATAATCATAGTGATAATATAGTCGGACCCAGTAAATATAGAAAAGAAGGAATAGAGTAAAGTACAAAAAAGTAAGCCAATGTTAATAATTTAGGTAGCTAAGTATGTTTAATAAGGTGTTCACTATAGAATACAAATAAGAGAGAAATAAAAGAGCCAAAATTATGTTAGTAACAACAAAGGAAGTCATAGGTTTCGCGCTTAACATTGTCTCTGTCATTTAGAACACCGGCCAAATATGGTATCGTTGAGTTCCTATACTTGGTTGTACGGGCATATATTATTTTGTACTGATTTCTGGTTCTACCTGATGAGATACAAGGAGAGAGTTGGGAATAGAGGGGGTGTTGGGGGTCGGAGTGTATGGTTTTAGACCATTTTTCTCAGTGACGAGCTGACGAGACTGATATTATAATATGAATCTTCTCCATCATTTCTTTAATGGTAGGCATTTGTAATACATTCTGTGGAGGCTCTATTAATTCTACTACTTCGGAAGATAACGCTTTCAGTATAGATCAAGCGTCCCACCACATCTTTGTACGAAAGTAATCAACAGGAAGAAACAGAGAACTAATCGAAAAAACGTGTGTTTTCAAGTTACTAATTACTTATGTGTGAAGCGTCTTATAAGCTTCAATATTAACATAGTTGTAATTTCAGAGAAATAACTCCTGATGAAACCCTGTAGCCAAACAAATCCCTACTAACCAACATTTGAATATCAATGAGATGTTCACTAGCGACTTGCCCTATTCAGGTAGGTAGTTATCTGGGGTTCTCGTGAGAAGTCGTGACCAGTAGGGTGCAGCAGGTCGGGTGTGAGAACAAATACTCGCCGAAGACATTGGCTAGGAGTCGCGCTATGTCATGAATTGACAGAAGTTAGAATACATGGGCTATTGGATCGGGTCCCAGGGGCTTAACGGTCTACCAGCTCGCCTTGTAACCAGAAGGTACTGGGTTTGAACGCCTCAGTGTGAGTGAATACTGCTGAAGAGTCCCAAACTAGGACGAACCAGCTGTCCAGTACTCCCAGGTTTTCCAATGGTTCTCTAACTAAGGTCAGCTCATGATGAAATCCTGTAGCTCCTGTAAATACTTACAAAGAGTCAAGTTTGATGATAATTATTGAACTATTGGAAAACCAAGAGGCTGTTTTGTCTTAGCTTAGGACTCTTCAGCAGTGTGCTTCGGCGACATTACAAAGGATTGAAACTGGGACTTTCAAGCTAACAGGTGAGCTCGCTGACCATTCACTCACTAGATTGATATTCAGTAACCTATGCACTGTAACTTCTATCAACTTACAATACTGCATGACCATCAACCAATGTTGTCGATACGCAGTCTCTTTACACAAGACATGATGGACCCCAACAGCCAACATTTTTCATTAGAACTTAGTTGGTTGTGAATGCAAACTGATGAGGAGTCCTAAACTAGGACGAAACAGTAGTCTAATTAATGCTCATTAGTTTTCATTTTTACCAAATTAATATCGGTTTGCGATGAAACACATGAAAATTCCAATAAAAATTCTGAATATTGTAAATATTGTCATTATTTCTCATGATAGTTTTTATTTACTTATAGATATGCTGAATAGTGAACAAAACTCAGAATATATTTCATCAAGGCAATTAAATGAATTAGAGGATATTTTAGACCAATTCTGTTTATCTGCTTTCACAGATAAAAGTGACACAGAGATTTCAATGGATTCTATACTAGATTTGTATAAACTTGAAGATTGGAGCTCTAAACTTAAAAGAAGTAATCAAAGATTTAGGTAAATTAAATTGTTTTTTTTTTGAATGGAAAAAAGATTTCATTTCTCTGAATGGATATTAACATTGTTAACAAATTATTATTATTTTATTCCTTCACATAGGGCCACTTCAAGCCAGAGGCTTGAAATTTCCTTAGCAGTGGTGATTATTTTTCACAGGATGTGATTGCTAGCCACATGCCCAACCTTCCCTCCTTACCAGTCTTGTTACTGGCTTAGCGAGGGAGGTAAGGGAGTGCGTCGGTGGCCGGAGATCGGACCCCAAACCGCATGAGGCATGGTTATTGAGCATTCTACTGCTGTGCTACCGACGCACTAACAAATAATTTTAGTAAACATAGTTCTGGACTTCACTTATGATATATGTCTGATTTCCCACAAACTGGAAGGTATGCAAGTGAAAAGCAACAAGTTGGCAGAAGAAGCATCAAAGATAGGAGTGACTTTAGATGAATATAGGGAAAACAGAGGTAGGTGATAAAGATTCCTTGCCAACACCAACAGCAACAACACGAGACAACAATCAGCCAGCATAAATGGGAGGAACCTGAAAGAAACAACCTCCTTTACATACCGACCTAGAAAGCATCGTTTCAACTACAGGCGGACAGAACTGACGAGGATATCAAAGCAGCGAGGATCGGGAAAGCAAGACAAGTTTTCATTACTCTGAAGTCAATGTGGAGGTCAACAGCACTCATCATGAAAATGAAAATAAGATCTAGATTTTCAACTGTAATGTGAAGTCAGTGCTACTTACCACAGGGATCAGAGACTTGGTGCGTCATGAAGAGCGTTTCAAACAAACTACAGACCTTCATCAACAACTGTCTTCGCTCAATACTCAAGATCAGATGGCTAGAAAAGATCAGCAATAGGGATCAGTTGGAGTGAACCAACCAGGAACCGACTGTGCAACAAATAGACGGGAAGAAATGGAGGTGGATTAGCCATACTCTGAGGAAACCATCAGGTGACATCATTAGACAAGCCATTGCTTGAGTGGCACCCGAGTGAACCGGAAGCGGCGAGTTGGTCGTCAGTATGAGGGTGATATGGAGGAGGTCATGTGAAGAGGAGGTGAAAGCATGTGGGCAGACTTGGAGCCAGGTGAAAACTCTAGCAGCGAACGGAACACAATGGAGACGTTTGGCTGAAGCCCTATGCTCCTCTAGGAATTAAAGGAAATAGTAATAATAATAAACATTTTTTGTAATGTGGTGTTTGCATCCGGACTGCTGATTGATAGATAGGTCTGAACGAATGATTTGAGAGTGTTTCAAAAACACAAGTCATGCATAGATTTATGCAATGTTGGTGTAGCACTTCTATGTTTTCAATAATTTTGAATCAGAAAGAGGCACTTGGTCAGTGGTCAGTTCCTAACAGAGAATCTACAGGTGATATCTGTCGTGTTAAATGATATGATGTGGTAATACTGAGGTTAGGCGTAGAATTTTGTGTAGGGAGGGAAATCCAATCAACAAGATTGTAAAGCTACATAGATTAAGATGTGCACAACATGTGTTACACATATCGAGCCACCGTCTTCCTCGACAAGTAATATTAACTGACATATGAGTGGGTTGGGAAACAGTTTTAGCCCTGAAATCAAAACACATCACCAATCTATGATGTCTCTGACTGTTAGTTTGAGTCTACCACTTACAAGAGTATAGACTGCCTGACTGAGGTCCTCGGAATTCTGTCTGTATGTCTGATTTTGACATAGAACTTTGCACAGATGTGCACCAGTTCAAGTCGCCACACTCCCTCCATTTAGCACACAAAGCAAGAGAAGAAAGTACAAGAAAAGTATAATAGAGACAGTAAACAGAGGTGTGAAACAAAGGAATAGTAATAACGAGGAACAATAGAGTTTCATTGAAAATCATAAGTCACAAGGAGTGGATGCATCTGCTCTAGCCATTGAGAACGATGAGTTTGAGTCATATCACCAATTGTTTCCAGCCATTGATTTTTACTGTCTCGAGGATTCCAACTAGTCAGGAAGTCTACATCTTCCTACGTGGCTATCTGACTTCAACTAACTGTTGTAGATTTCATTGACTGGTGCCATGTTTTGGTCTGACCGCTGCTAGCTCTTTACCAGTCTGCCCCTACTTCGAGGAGGGCTATGACTAGGCATACATAACACATGTCCTAATCATCTCAGTCGATGTAATTTCACAGCCTTGTCGATTGATTTCCCCTCCTCGGAGTTCTAAGAATCATTGGCTGGAGGCCCTTTGTAATATGTCTTAAAATTGTTCATGGTAATGGAGATGCATTTATTGTTTGTAACCTTAAAGATCTATTAAACACTCAGGATTTCCCATGTTGTTATTCTTCCTCCCGTACACTTCTAGTCAGTAAACTTCTTTTGAGTTTCTATTTTCTCTACCTCTTTTGTGCTATATGGATTGTGGCAACTTGTACTACTGAAAATCTGTTCAAAGTTTAACTATAAAACTTAGCCGGTTATTATGGGGATTAATTAATAAATCACAATCAGTCCTCAATCTTAGAAGGACTAAAAGCGGCACTGGGCTGAAGACTTCACCCGGAAAAGATGGGTAACAGGAGCAACGAGCCAAGCGTGGAGTGGATTGCAACATAATGCATTATTACCGATTATAGCCTAGGATGATAGTCGACAGTGAAATCATTTGAAAATTTTTTCAGTATTTTTCAACGCCTCAAGTACACATAAATCCCATTCAACAGCTATACCATAATGACGCGTCTCAAGTAATTTACAGCGGAGAGGTCAGTGAAGCGTTCGAGGTAGAGGAAGAGTAGAAGAAGACTGCCTACTGTCACTGATGACCTTGATGAATGTGGTGGACTAAATGACACATTAAAAACTACGAGGAGTGAGGGGATAAGAATACGCTGGACCAACTAAGAGATCCTAGGGGATCTGAATTTCCCCGATTATTTGCCTATCGTGTTTCAGTGGAAAAAACAGCAAGTTGACAGAAAAGGAAATAACGACAGGATTTCAGCTAAACATAGGGAAGACGGAGGTGAAGAAGACAGCTGAACACAAACAGTGAGAGGAAAATATAATAGAAGTCATCTATCTCAATTACCTGACCTGTATGATGTCGCTTCAACAACAACAAGTTAGGTGGTGTCAAGAATGACGATATGAAAGCCGACCAGGATCATTAGAGAAAGCGAAACAGGTATCCATTAGCCTAAAATCAATGTGGCTATTTATAGCACTTATACAATACAAGGAAGAAGATAGAAATTCGGGACACTAATATGAAATCAGTCCTTCTATATATTTCGGGGACATGACACACGCGTTACCAGAAGTATTTCCAATTGGTTATACTCTTTAGATTGCCATCAATGGCTGGCTTCCCTGGCTTGATAATAAAGATCAGATGGTCGGTTAGGATGGATGGACGACGAAGAACTCTGGTAGTGAACCAGTCAAAGAATTATTGTCCTTAGAATGATGTTTCATGCATACTTTTTAGGCTCTACATCTTTTAGAAGATACATCAAATGTATATACATGTTTATATGTCATATAAAAATGCCTACTTTCAAGTTCTTGGTATTTTGTTTTCCAGACATATTAATGAAAACACACAACGCAGTTTATCAGATAATCGAATTCTTTTATTAACTGGTCAACCTGGTGTAGGAAAGTCACGATTTTTAATGAATTGGTTGGATAAACGCAAGCTGAATGGCTTTAACACACTGAACTCTGGTGATAATAAATTAACTACACAGATAACTATTAAAACTCCCAGCGAAATTGATCATAGCGGATATAAATTCAAAAATGAATCAAGTATTATTGTTATTGAAGAATTTATAGAAGCAAATAAATGTAATTCAGATATATGGCAATTATTAGATGATTTAAATTCGAAGGCGAGAAAGGCAAGGTGTAAAGGTATGTTAACAAATCCATGAAGTTATTCATTCAGTTTGATTTTAAAAGTGCTAGACGGGATGCTAATACGTACAAAACTAACTTTTGGTCTAGCTGAGTGAAGAAGGCGAAAGAACAATTATAAGGATACTTCACTCAGCTCGGTGAAAAGTTGGTTAGGCTCTACAGTTATACATACATTATAGTCAGTGAATGAATGAATGAATTAGTGTTATGAACAACATTAGTGTTGTTTAAATAACATAGAATCAATAATAATAATACTAATATCAATAGATTAGAGTTCGATAGCATCAACATAACAATACACACTGAATGTCAGAAAAATAAGGAAAGATAACAACAATACAAATTCATGAATTCATAGTCTCTGCTGATGGCCGGCCAGGGCATTAGTAGTGGCTGGCTGGACTTGCTTCTTCTGCACACAAAGCACTGGTTGTTTCACGCGAATCGCGATAGCCTGTGCTGCTTGGAACATGCGTTGCTTGGATGTTTTTGACTATTTGTTTGGCGCCAGGTAGATAATGATAGAGAAGGACTCTTCAACGCTGGATGGCTGGCTTTGTGGTCTGTTTCGACCAGATGGTCTATTATTTTTTGTTTTTGTTTTTGATTACAGCTTGACTCCTCACCGTATTTTCGGTACAAGTATGGAATTTTCAGCATGGTTATCGGTAGCCCAAATTTTGCAGGCCGACCATAGATATCAGGTGTGCGTCGGTAGGGGATCGAACCTCGGACTATGTGCATGGTCGGCGAGAGTCCTAACCTCTGTCCCACCGACGCACAATCTCTTGCGTTATGATATATGTGATTGAGTCGGGGCACTTGCCAATACCATTTCGGATACTCATGATTATCGATATACTCATTAGGAAAACAAATCTCTGCATTCACCACGGCAAGTTTGACAGAGTAACGCAGAAGTCCATTGAGCTCCTTTACTGTCGAGGGATCTTTGCTAGTTTTTAACTCATGGAAAATTCCCATTGTAACATATAGAAAATCAAAACAAGTGATTCAGTGAAGAGACTCTTTTCAACAAATTTATCATCAAGCTGTAAACTCGTATGTATATATGGCTTTCAAGAAGTTATATCTGATGGGGAATTGAATCATAGGTGTGAATGCATAAAATAATAATAGTACGAAATGCAATTAAAAACTAAAATGTTTGTGATTATACTCAAAGTTAAATGTCAAGTGGCAAAACAAATTAATGTCATATATAGAATAATTCATAGGATGGATAGAACTTGAAAAAAGGTGTGCAATTATAGGATTAGTAGACAAATCGAATAAAGTAAAAACGTTACGTAATACTGTGTGAAATTTGATAGCATAGAATTTATCGTTGTAAAAAAGAATTGATTTAGAATGACAAGTGGAACAAGTGAAATAATACCGGGGACAATTCAAAGGGAGAGTATCCGAAATGGTATTGGAAAGTGCTCCGACGCAATCACATAATATCTGTTTGTTGATGGTTTTTACTACACTTTTACTTAGCCATCAACAGATAGATATTAGACCATCTGGTCGGTGGCACAGTGGTTGGGACTCTCGCCGACCATGCACATGGTCCGGGGTTCGAGCCCGCACCGACGCACATCTGATATCTATGGTCGGCCTGCAAAATTTGGGCTACCGATATCCATGCTGAAAATTCCATACTTGTATCAAAAATACAGTGTGGAATCAAGCTGTAAATAAAAAATAAAAATAAAAAAATAAATAAAATAGATATTAGACCATCTGGTCGAAACCGACCACAAAGCCAGCCATCCAGCGTTGAAGAATCCTTCTCTATCATTATCTACCTGGTGCCAAATAAATAGTCAAAAACATCCAAGCAACGCATGTTCCAAGCAGCACAGGCTATCGCGATTCGCGTGAAACAACCAGTGCTTTGTGTGCAGAAGAAGCAAGTCCAGCCAGCCACTACTAATGCCCTGGCCGGCCATCAGCAGAGACTATGAATTCATGAATTTGTATTGTTGTTATCTTTCCTTATTTTTCTGACATTCAGTGTGTATTGTTATGTTGATGCTATCGAACTCTAATCTATTGATATTAGTATTATTATTATTGATTCTATGTTATTTAAACAACACTAATGTTGTTCATAACACTAATTCATTCATTCATTCACTATAATGTATATGTAAGTGTACAGCCTGATGAAGAAGAGGTTATCGAAAAGAGTATTCTTTGTTCAGTATCCATTGTTTTGTAAATTCTTTTTTTTTTATCAATTTTGTATGCAATAAGATACTTTTTAATAACAAGGAATAAATACTTTAACATCTGATTTTCGATAGGTACCCGTATTTAAAAATTATTTATTTTAATAGTTATGCTGGTCAAACGAATGATTCGTGGGGTTTTTGAAAAGTAGAGGTTTTGTGGTACTATTATTACTAATATATATTCCTGCTCAGTAGGTAAAAAAATCTCATCTTCTCTTCTTCTTTATATTTATATTCTATGCTATGTGGCTTATATGAGACGATAAGAATGGGAAGACATCTTACCTCATAAGAATTGAGAATTTCATAGTTTTGACTATTGTAAATAATTTAATTACACATATTGTATAGAACGAATTCTTTTATAAAAATGAAATAATTATTTAGTAATAAAAGTATTATGGACCGAATTTCCCTTTCAAAGGGAGTATCATCAGCCATATTCATGAATTCAAACATGGACATCGGAGGTAGAAGTTAGAAGTATTTCGGAAGTATGGTTTATTGAGAAACTGGTGGATAAGTAATATTACAACAAAACGTGATAACTTCATAGGACTTAAGACGACGAACACAGAGGAGTCATAGGTGATGAAACCTACCAAATCAATAATAACAATAAGCAATTAGTATCAGTAAGAGGAATTTAAAGGTAGTCATCTCTTTCACTTGATTTCGGCAGCATCCTTTCAACGAGATGTTGGGTAGATGAAGACGATAAAGTCAACCGGGATTGGGCAGGGAAGGCAAAACAGACGTTGCTTACTTTGAGTTAACGCTGTCAGATGAAGGGCTTTTCGAAGTTTATGAAGTTAAGGCAGAGGTTTGACTGCCATTCTATGCTTTATTTTGTGATAACGATTCGTAGAGTTTCAATTCAATCAGCACATGATTTGCTTTTCTTGAATCCAGCTTGTTCCGGTGGGCGGAGGAGTTCTGTATTCAGTGCATCCTTTGTTCTCTCCACGATGATGCGACTTAGTATTTTACTTGGCGTGAGTGGACAAGAGCATTATTCCACACCATTCCTTGCACAGGCCTGAGCCGCCATCCTTCGGCAGTTTGATGGGGTAGTCAGCCCTTCTTCCAATCAATAGGTACCTTTCCTTCTTTCCAAACCTTTTGCAGTAATGGGGTGTGAACATCTGCCGTAATCTCTGGGGCCGTCTTCAGTGCTTCGGGAGGAATGCCATCTGGTTCGGCTACCTTCCCGGCCGGACTTCAGTAGCTTGATCGCGTTCAGGATTTCTTCTTTCTTTGGAGTTGTGTCCACTGAAATTTCCGTGTATGCTGTTGGTGTTGGTGTATTTTTGGGCAAGTTGCCCGTGGCGGTCGATTCAACAGTCCTTTAAAGCGATCAGCCCATTATTTGATTTGTTTCTCCTCCTTGGTGATCAGGTTTCCTTGAACATCTTTTATTGGTTTCATCATCTGACTTGATCTCTTCCCGAATAGAGATTAGATTATCTGATATAGTGTCCTGATGTCTCTTCTACCTGCGGTCTACCTGCTGTTCTGCTTCAGTTGCCCACCAGTGTGTCGTAGAGTTGTCGTTTGTCTTATCTAATACTATTCTTCATTTCTTTATTCATTGCAGTGTACACTGAACTCAAATTCTCCCTCCGTCGCCCATCTTTGTATTGAGTCATCTTCCCTTTCACCATCCTCCTCTCCTCGATTAGCTTCCAAGTAGGTGTCCGCTGACAGCCATTCCTTGTCTTGTCTCTTCCTTCTTCCTAGAATAGTTGTACACGTTTCCTAAAATATCGCTTTCAGAGAGTTTCAATGTTCTTCCACACAGGTTTCCTCAGTGTTGCGACATAGTATCTCCGACTTTGCTCTGATCCGATCTGTGGTGAAGGTGTCTCTTGTAGTTTTGTCCTTCAGTTTCCGGATGTTGAACTTGGATTGTGGTCTGTCTCCATTTGTTTTCATGGATTTCAGCTTCATCTTGAAGGTTCCTTGGACTAGATGATGGTCTGAGCCCACATCTGCTCCCCTTCTCAACTTTGTATCCAGCAGGCTGTGTCTCCACTTCCTTGAGCAGCGTTGACATGAAATCTGTTTGATTTGTGGCGCATCCGTCAGGTGAAATCCATGTCTTTGGCCTTGTGTATATCCTTGTATTTGTGCACGCGCCCTCCTATCACTAGATCACTGAAAGAGCGAAAGTCTTTGAATAATTCTCCGTTCTCATTAATTTCTCCGAGCCTCAGCCCCTCAACCCACGATGAGTTCTCTTCCTGTGGTGTTGTTTGCTCCCAGTTCGGCTTGCATTCATGTCGCCCATGAGGATTTCGATGTCACCGTTTGGTATGTTGTCCATTACTGTTTCTAGTTGTCTGTAAAAATCCTCCTTCTTGGCTTGTTCCGTATTGTTTGTAGCACTGGGTAATTTTGACTTTCCTTCCCTCCTTCTGAGTTGAATCTTACTGTGATGATGCTGGATGAAATTGGTTCCTGCTGCATTAGGGCTTTGGCTGCCACTGGTAACATCATTATAGCCTCTCACTCCCTTAGTGTATTCGTGATTGTCGTCTGGGTGACCAAAGTAGATTATTGACTATCCCGTTGACAATATTGTCAATCCATTCCATCTGCTTTCTCAGATACCCAGTACTTCTAAGGCATGTCTTCGTATCTCTTTGGCTACCTGGGTAGCCTTCTTAGTCTCGTACACTGTACGGACATTCCAAGTACCAGTTATTTTATTGCTTTCATCGAGAGAAGACAAATCGGCTGGCTGACTGGCTTCCCGAAGGCTTTCACCATCCCGTTGTGTCATTTCGCCTCTCCGATTCGAGCGAAGAATAAGATTTTTATTTGAAGCTTTTGTATTTTTAATATATTTTCTGTGTGTTGAATTTTTTCTAGCGGTTTGAAAGATTTAGTGGTGTGGGGTTGCTAGCTCCACGCCCAAACCTCCCTGTTTGCCTGAGCTTGGGACCGGCTAGAAAATTAGTTAGCTAGTTAACTAGGTGAGGCTAAAATTTGCTGGTATTTTAGATTTATTATAACGTACAAATATTTTCTCTGGAGTTATAATAGAGGGAGGTAAAATTATAGTGAGAACTTTACTCTGACCACAGTAGGCCAAGGGAATGTATGCATTTCTTTTGAATACACAGATCCGGTTTCAGATCCCGAATAACCAATGATTCAGATGTGTACAGATGGCGTATTCGAAGTCCTTTCTTACAATATTGAGAGATTCTGTGTATAACTGTGAAGCATTCATGTTGGGGTGCCCGATGTCCAGAGTTGAGAAAGTGTTCAAGGATGGGGCTGCTAGTATTCTTCCATTCTTTTATCTTCTTCTTCTCTTCTTCCCACGTAGGTGAAGATTTTACTCCTAACTTGGGAACTACATTGTCTGCGTTAACCAGTGAACAAGAAGATTTTGAAAGAGCACGTCAACTTCGACAACTTGGTTCTCGTTTCTTTGCTTCATTGAATCCGAATGCATCATATCACAAGGGATCATATCCACCAATTGTAGTTATTATAGATGGTATGGAGTGCCTTGAAGATCCATTAGCCAAAACACCTGAAGGAGTAAGTGAAATGATGTATTAGTCATTCTTGTTTTTTAAGCAATCTTTGGGATTGTTTTGCTGAGGTTATCTAATCGAAATTTTCTCCGTTGCAAAGTTTACTTCCACATGTTTAAATTTCATTTCATTATTATAAGTACAAAGCATGTTACTGTTTAAATCACTTGTAAAATATTTTCTACAGACAGTTAACTGCTATGTGACACTACCGCGAGGTACATAGGTTGAGAAAAAAGTTATGGGATTCGTGGAGATTTGGATTAATTTGATTTGAGTTGCTGGATTCGCTGACGAACCAACATCAGTTAGAGATCATTGAAAAACATGTAACACACTGGACAGCTGTTTCATCCTACGCTGGGACTCTTCAGCATTGAACACACCACTTCACCAGAGTTCCAACCCAGGACATTCAAGTTATGATACCAAGCTCATTAACTACTCCATTATGGATAAGATTTTATACTTATATTATTTACTACTCAGCTATTTGATTCGAAGTTCAGTGACCCGTTAATTCAGACTTTTCAAATTCAGAGTACACGCCTAACTTTTTAAATGCTTCCGCTGAGCATCCACTTCGCCTTGATATGATGGACACCACTGGCGAGGACAGTGCTTTATCACAAATTGAGATGGTTAGAATTTAGATAAAGCAATAAGAGGACGTAATTTGTCTGAGTCGTGTAATCCTGTATTTGCGCACAACACATTTCGAACAATCTGATCACACACCGACTTGTCACGGGAATATATATGAAATTAATGAAGAGGTAAGAGGTGAGAAAATAGACCACTTAGGTCAAGTCAGAAGGACATATTGAAGGTCGAAATAACAATGAAGATCACTAAACCAAATAGCAGAGGTGATAGTACATCTGCTATGGTATCAAAACAAAATTTACAAAGGAAGGTTTAATGTGATGACGAATTGTTTTTGATAGCATACAGGTGGTTTAAACTTTCTACTCACGCCAGGACTTCCACAAACTTCAGGAAGCGCCCCAAACACCTTCTATAGATGGGCTTAAAAGATGTGTTAACGTCAAGTTTGTGTCCTGTTTCTTTAATATGTTTCGCAATAGAAGAGCTATGTCTTCTGTTCTCACCATTATTGGGTTCTAAAGATTTGATTTGTTTCTGGAGCCATTTAGGGATATGCCTTAAAGCCAGCACTTACTTGCAGAAATCGATGAATACTCCCTATATATGTTTCACGTTTTTGATCTTGGATTAATATCGGTCAGGAAACCATTGAAAACCATAGAGTGTTGGATAGCTGTTTCGTCCTAGTTTGGGACTCTTCGAGGGTGCACAATCATAGGGGTTCGAACTCGATACCTTGCCTTTACAAGGCTATCTCATAGGCTAACCAAACTATCAGACTTGATTTAATGAGGACAAATACTCACTGATGATACCACCTGGTGGTCTCACTGAAATCACAAATTGGTAGGAGTTGGAATGCACGGACACTTCAGTTGGGTCATAGTGGCTAAATGATCTATAAACTCGCCTGTGAACCGCGTTTAGCGTATAGTGTCTAAGAGTCCAAAACTAGGACAAAACAACTGTTTTGTCCAGTACTCACTAGTTTTTAAGGGTTCTGTAACTGATATCAATCCATGATCAAATTTCATTTCACTTATTAAAATTTCAAGTAACTCTCTATCGCTTTGTTGACATTGACGTTGAGTTTACTTAATCATACTTATTTTCATCCTATTTTTCTTCCTTTCGTTAACATAGGTTAAATGTATTGACTGGTTATTCAGTTGTCATGTAAAGAATGCAGAAATTAATCTACTTGACTATGGAGTAATAAAAGCCAATGGACTGCCGATCGTTCCCCATCGAACTCGTTTCATTCTTACCTGTTCTTCATCCCATTATATAAGTCATCAGTTAACTAAATGTCCATTTATCACTACTATGGAATTTCCAATGCATTTCAAGCATAAAGAAGCCTTGCTACATGCTAAGCCAGAACCAACAACAATTGGAAGTCTTGAAGAGGCTTCAGAAACTGCCAAAGAAGAAACAGAGAAACAAAACACTTATCAGTCAACAAGCTTAATTTCATTATTTCCTAATCTATTCAATAATGGTGTATATCACAACTTTGGAGATCCAGTGAAAGTCAGGCATCAAGAGAAATCATTCTCATCAGTTTCTAACAATACTGAAATGATAGAAACACATTTAATGAATCCTATTCTTGTAAAATTATATGAAAATTGGTGTCTAAGACATAATGCTCTTGCACGGGTAAAAACAATTTCATTTTATGCGTTTATTCGTCTTTAGGAATTTGAATGAAGCAAGAACAACAGTGATTTGTGCAGCATCATATGGGTTACCATCATCGCTGATTTCGTTGGCTTCTCATCAGTTGCCACTTACAGCCTAAATAAATTATTATCATTAATAAGTCTATGTAAAGAAACAATTTTAACATACTTGCATGATGTCGGTTGACAGGAGGTTCTGGACTTAGTGAACAATGCTCAGAAAAGCACGCTTATATAGTTTTTGCACAGATGGTTCAAGTTTGAACGAAGTAAATATGTGTGCATTCAATGGTAAAGGAGTTACGTAACAAAGACGAGAGATGAGTAAGACGATGAGTAACTAATAAGTTGGACGAACCATGTACTGTGTCCAACTCAAATCAGAGAAAACAAGAGACAAGCGAAATTACACTATATCAAAGGGGGGGAGGTGATGTTAAAGGAAAAGCCTATATCTTAAGGGAACCAACGCTTACAATGTTACCATTATTAGGCATCTTCGTGATACTAGTCATGAATTGGAAATCTCAAAATCCTTTAAAAGTATCAGTAGACAAAGAGACTCCATTCTCCTCAAGTTTGCCGAAGAAATCTCTGTCAAACGCCTGAAACCCAATTTATGTGTTCGGAAAGAAGCAGGCACCAGTCAGTCTTTCCTTTCCAACCTGGTAACTGAATATCTTTATCCTCTCTTTCACTTGACTAAGTAATTTTTCGCTTTAACCTCCACCCACCCCTCTTTGATATAGTGTAATTTCGCTTGTCTCTTGTTTTCTCTGATTTGAGTTGGACACAGTACATGGTTCGTCCAACTTATTAGTTACTCATCGTCTTACTCATCTCTCGTCTTTGTTACGTAACTCCTTTACCATTGAATGCACACATATTTACTTCGTTCAAACTTGAACCATCTGTGCAAAAACTATATAAGCGTGCTTTTCTGAGCATTGTTCACTAAGTCCAGAACCTCCTGTCAACCGACATCATGCAAGTATGTTAAAATTGTTTCTTTACATAGACTTATTAATGATAATAATTTATTTAGGCTGTAAGTGGCAACTGATGAGAAGCCAACGAAATCAGCGATGATGGTAACCCATATGATGCTGCACAAACAAATACAATTTAAATTACTGTCAGTAAAACGTTTGTGCATTGTGGCATAGATCAAATAAAAGTATATTTATATTTGCAGTTAATTGGTGGATGGTGACTAACAGTGGAATCCAGGATAACGCACATTCCGTTCTGTTTGGGAGACTCGTCACCTAGATGTACGTGGATTCCCTAGTGAATGATGATGTCCCCACCGAGGCTCGAACCCACTGCCTATCGTTTCAAACGCCAGTGTCATCCATTAGACAACTTGGGCAACGACAGCTTTGGCATTTGAAACTATGGGCACTGGGTTCGAGCCTCAGTGGGAACATCATCGTCATTCACTGGAGAATTCAGGTACATCCAGTTGACGAGCCCCAAAAAGGACGAAATGCGCTTTACCCTGGATTCTACTGCTAGTTATAATCCACCAATTAACTATCAATTACATGCCTAGGCATTGTCGAAGCATCTGCACAAGAAGCCAACATGTCAACCCTTGGACCGAGCACTTTGGTCCAATCAATCGACGGGAAAATCTAAAATTCAATTAATATCAAGTGTTAGTTTGTAGGGATTTGATTGGATTCAGGTTTGTGCATGCATTGATATTAGTTAAAGAACGACTGGAAAACATGAGGCACCAGATAGCTGCTTCTGGTGCTTACTAGTGGCTAACTACAGAGCGAGGTGTTCTGAGTTCGTCAGTGAGAATTCGTCAGCAGGACGGTTGTCAGAACAAATACTCGCCGATGACATTGGCTGACGGTCGCATTAAAAATTGTGAATTGGCACTAGTTAGACCACATCCCAGTGGCTGAATGATCACCGGCATCTCCTCGTACGCTGAAGGTCTTGGATTCGATCACCCATGTAGTTATAGGCGCATATTGTTGAAGAGCGCCTAATGAGGATGAATGAATTGTATGGTACTCCGTGGTTTTCATTATTTATCTAAGTTGAAAACATTTATTTCCCAATACGAATTTGTAACATGCAACAAAAATGTGTTAATAAAGTAGGATTTAATGAATTCATCGAATTTCGGTGGAACTCCTCCTCCTCAGCTGAATACTTTACATAATGGGATGCATATATACTTCTGTAATTACATTGGGAGATATAAGACTGATAAGCAAATAAACTACATTGAATTAGTCATGCATAAAGACAAGTGCGAATGTTTTCCAGGTCATGTTCAAATAGATAAGGGGAAAGAGAGTATGAGAGATTAGAATTAAGATAAAATGCATTACGCTTCAATTACATCACTCAGATAAACAATTAGTCATTAGAGAATATATACAGAATTGCAAACACAGTAATATCAATAGTAATAATAATAATAATAATGTTGAAGTGAGTTAAGATAATCCAACTGATAAAAGAAAGTGTTAAATGAAACAAGAATAATAAATAATAATTAGAGGTAGAATAATAAGTAAAACGTATTACCATGGAAGATTCAGAGTGATACCCATCTCCTTTTGTACACACAGAGACCTGGTTTATACACTCGAATTGCACAAGCCTCCTCCTCAATTGCAAGCATCTTCTTGTTTCTTTGTCTGTCTGCTGAAAACAGTGAATGACTTTACAGCGTCGACACATATCCGTAGTTCATAAGATGCTTTGTTATTGAGCTTTTTGGCACTTTGAATTCAGGTGCTTTTAATCGCTTCGGCAAATGCCCTTTGGGACCACTTTTCGCAGACTTATTTTTGTTAGGCCTAGAAATCGGTACCTTGCAGCAATATATATAAGAAACGGATGTATACCTAAGATATGTTGATGACATTTTTATTGTTTGTGGAAGCAGAATCAAAAGCCGAAGACATGTTGATAAAATTCAACTCATGCCATCCAAATCTCAGTTTCACAGTAGAGCACGAGGAACACGGTACTATTAAATTCCTAGACGTTTTTCTAGCCAAAATGAGTGATGGCACAATCAAAAGATCTATATTTAGAAAGTCTTCATGGACAGGATAGTACATGCATTCCAAGAACTTTGTTCGATGCCAGTATGAAAAGAACTTAGTCAGAACACTGTTCAATAGAGCACGAAAAATTTGTTCTGACAGTACTATTGAGCATGAAATAAAATCTCTCAAGAATATTTTATCTAAGAATGGATATCCTGAGAAGTCCATTAATAAATACTGTAAAGAAATTAGGCCCTGCGAAACAATTCAAACAATTCCGAAGAAACCTGTATATATTAGTTTGTTGTTCAAAGGAGATGATGTACAGAAAGTAATCAAACGAAGACTCGACAAAGCCTTCAAGAGAACTTATTATGCTGCAAAACTTGTTTTCCATAACACCACCACCAAGCAAGTGCTTCAGCAATCTGGGAAAGACCACTCGCCAATCCCTGACACTTCAAACTGCGTATATCAGTTTGAGTCTTTTTGTGGAAGCAAACACATAGGTCGTACGGAAAGGCGATTGTCTCTCTACTCGCATGATGGAGCATTTGCCAAAATGGTTGAAAATAGTTGAGTGCAAAGTGCCAAAATCCTCAATAATAAAACATCTTGTGAACTACGGATATGTGTCGACGCTGTAAAGTCATTCACTGTTTTCAGCAGACAGACAAAGAAACAAGAAGATGCTTGCAATTGAGGAGGAGGCTTGTGCAATTCGAGTGTATAAACCAGGTCTCTGTGTGTACAAAAGGAGATGGGTATCACTCTGAATCTTCCATGGTAATACGTTTTACTTATTATTCTACCTCTAATTATTATTTATTATTCTTGATTCATTTAACACTTTCTTGTATCAGTAGGATTATCTTAACTCACTTCAACACTATTACTATTATTGTTATTATAACTACTACTATTTTAATATATGTGTAAAACTTGGGCACTGTCGTAGTAAGTAATTCCATATTAGTTTGTTTATTAGATGTATTACACAGTGAAACAGCATTACTATTTAGTGGATGACAAAGTTTCGAACAAAATTTATTGTTCATAATCATATCGATTGTAATCACACGACTTTGAAACTTGAGATTTATAGCTTTTTTTTTCCCTTAAATTATTTTATATATATCTTTATTAGAATCTATTTATTCATGAACTACAAGCAGTTCTATACAATTCTAATTCATCGCCTGGTCCAGAAGAAATGTCAAATACTGACGATTATATTGAACGTTTATTAGCTACTCAATCAGTTAGACAATTAATCTTATGCTTATTACATAGATGGTCAATTGAATTTGAATGTTATGTAATCAGTGTGGAAGAAGACATGCTGCATCTGTCATCCTCATCTGCCTCATCGTCTTCATCCTCGTTATCAACAACTTTAATAGGCTCAAATGTTGTAAAGGGTGATATTTCTCATCAGTCATTATCACCAGCGAATAATAGTAATCATGCTGATGATGAGCAGGAGGATAAAAAGTCCAGTGAAGTACACAATATTGACTTTAAGTCTTTAACACGAAAAGCTATGACGCAACTATCCAAAGGTAAGTATTATTATATTCTTATTATTGTTATTATTATTATTATTCTTTCCTTTAATTCTTAGAGGAACATAGGGCTTCAGCCAAAAAAACCTCCATTGCGTTCGTTTCACCTGACTCTACATCCGCCCACATGCTTTCATCTACACTTTACATCACCTCTTCCAAGTCACTCTTGAACAACCAACCTGCCGCTGCCCTTTCGGGTTCCACTCGTGGGCTTGTCTAGTGATGTCACCTAATGCTATGTAGTTTGTTTGAGGTGCTCTTCATGAAGCGCCAGGTCTCTGATCCGTGTGGTTAGTAGCACTGACTGGCTTCACATTGGAGTTATAAATCCAAATCTCACTTTCATGCTGAGTGCTGTTGATCTATCTCCACACAGACTTGAGAATAATGAAAGCTTGTCTTGCTTTCCCGATCCCGCTGCTTTGGTATCCCCATCAATTCTGTCCGCTTGTAGTTGAAACGATGCTTCCCAGGTCGGCATGTAAAGGAGGTTGCTTCTTCCAGATTTTTCGCATTTATGCTGATTTTTGTTGTTGCTTTTGGTGTTGGCTAGGAATCTTCATCACATACCTCTGTTTTCCCCATATTCACCTAAGGTAACGTCCTATCTTTGATGCTTCTTCTACCAACTTGTTGCTTTTCACTTGCATATCTTCCAGTTTGTGGGAAATCAGACATATATCATAGGCGAGGTACAGATCTTCCAAGTTTTTCTTTTGTGTAAGTCTATTTTATGTCTGTTTCCTCGCCACCTGCTGTCTGTCTGTGTCATTATCAAGTCTACTGCAATCAGGAAAATCATTGGAGATAGTAGGCAACCAGCGTGTCTTACTCCCATCTTCCCTTCGAAGGATTCTGTGAGTTTCCCGTTGTGGATTACTTGGCATGCATCATTATCGTACAACTGTTGGATGAGATTTATAACTGTCGGTTGCACACTGTAGTAGCGCACCCCGTACTTTACAACACTATGTGATTTATCAAAATAAAATCTTATCCATAACCGTAGTAGCGAAATAGTCGCTGATTAACCTCTTGACCTACGCTGTTGAAGGCCTTTTCAGAGTCGATGAAGTTGAGATAGAGAGCTGTCTGCCATTCCAAGCTCTGCTATAAACTCGAATAACAATCGCAATTAAACCACTGAATTCTAAGAGTTTGGAAATCAGCTACAAGCAATGATGGCAGTATATACAGTGTAGAGTCTAACACAGTGGCATCTGACTTCAAACTAGTATATTTAAATACAACACACAACAAAGTAAGCAGAAGTAGAGATTCTAGCCCAATATTACTAATACTATTACTACTTTTTACGAGTTGGTCACGGATTGATATCAGTTTGAGAACCATTGAAAACCAGCGAGGAGTACTGGACAGCGGTTTCGTCAGTCTAGTTTGGGGATCATCGGCAGTAAGCACACACACAAGGCTCGAACCCAGGACATTCCGGTTATAAGGCAAGCTCGTATACTATTCAGCCACTGGGACCTGATTTAATGGCTCATGATTTATAACTTCTACCAAATCGTGATGCATTTAGTGCCACTACCAACCAATATCATCGATGGGACATCCATCCTCATACTTGACTGGATGGAACTCACTGGTCATGACTTCTCACTAGAACTCGCGGAAACTCCGTCCTGTAGCAAGTCATTAGTGAGTATCAGATTAATTTTCTATAGGATGGAGTTTATGGAGTTCTAATGAGAAGTCGTGACCAGTGAGGTCCATGCAGAAGTCACGTGTGAGGATGGATATGCCGCCGAACACATTGGTTGGGGTCACACTGAATCACAAACTGGTATAAGTTAGAATTCATGAGCCATTAAATCAGGTCCCAGTGGCTGAATAGTATACGAGCTTGCCTTATAACCGGAATGTCCTGGGTTCGAGCCTTGTGTGTGTGCTTACTGCCGATGATCCCCAAACTAGACTGACGAAACCGCTGTCCAGTACTCCTCGCTGGTTTTCAATGGTTCTCAAACTGATATCAATCCGTGATCAACTCATAAAAACAAAAGAAATCCTTATAAACCAACTATAGAAAAAACTATTACTACTACTATTACCAACTTAACTCACCCTTTCCATTAGCATGGTACACAGCTATCCATACTCTGGTGTGTCCGTTGTATAGCGTTACATTGCCTCCTAGTTTACAGCCATGAAACATAATCGCTGAATGTGGAAGATAATAAAAGATTGACTAGTTCTTACGCAAGGTGTTTATGTCTGTTTCACAAGTTTAGCTAAAATAGGCCTAGGTTTAAAAGGGGTTAAGGGTGATCAGATCAAAATAGCGCCAATTAATAGAGTTTTTGACTACTGGTTTGAGAACTCCATTGGAGAAGTGTAGACTGCGTGGCTGCTGTCCTCAAGATGGAGGGCATTAGTGCCATGACTCAAAATCATTTTCAGTGATGGAGATTAAATTCATTCCTTATTATTATTCACTTTCGTAGAACCTTGATGAATCCTTATTTAGTCATCTTTTCATCTAATACATTTTCGTCTATTTCGAATTGGATAATATCTCCCTCCTACGCTTTAATAACTGGTTTTCTGAAGGATTACAACTTGAACTGGTGCATTTTTGTGCAATATTCTGTATTTCTTAGAACAGTCAATTATCATAGGTTATTTTAACAGAGGTAATCTAACTACCTTAAGTAGCTGATTACTAGGCATTTTTAAAGCTAATTCATCAAATGTGAATGTTTCATGGGATGAAGGTGTTTCTTCATCAAACAATCATTTGATGGCTTGAATATGATGATGGTTACACCTTACACTATTTCACCGGTATTGTTTTTGTAGTTTTTATTATTTTGAAGTTAGTTCGTTTATTATTTTTTTATTGTATCATTTCCTGTTCTTTAACTCACAGTATACTTAAAATTGTTATAAGCTGAAATTGTGGTGACCATAACCACACTCTGAGAAAATAATCTGAGGCTTATTGTATTAGCTGTCAACTTCATTTCTTTTTAATTCTTCAGTAATTTGCCAGTGGTTACTATTTTTTATTTCAAGAATTGTATTGATATATGTATAAAACTTGGGCACAGTGGTAGTAAGTAATTCCGTATTAGTTTGTTTATTAGATATATCACACAGTGATGAAACAGTATTATTTACTGGATGACAAAATTTCGAATACAATTTATTGTTCATAATCATGCCATCAATTATAAACGCACGACTTTGCAACTTCAGTTTTATGGCTTTCTTTGTTCTCTCCTATTTGTCGTCGTAGGGGTAGTAGAATTGTCCAGATATCTGGGACATTTCTAATACACGTATTTGCAGTTGATTCAATAAACAAAGCTTCTGTTATCAATCTCTCCCTCCACACTGTTACATTAGATTTTAAAACTGTCATCTTATCCCATCCATCTTTTTGTATGGTTGTGTGTAACTGCCTGTAGTGAGTGGTATAGATGAACTATTCTCTAGATTTCTTGTCTAGATTTTGCTAGATTTTATGCTCGGCTAGTCTGACTGCACCTGTTCTGCTAGTTTGACCTATGTATTTGACCTGATAATCATTGCAGGGTATTAGACAAACTAAATTGTTTTGTTTTATTGGCTCACAGGATTTATCCTTTAGATGACAAAGCTTGTTACTAATAGAGTTTGAGTGGGTTTGAGTGCCAGCCACTTTTATTCCTGCCTTGTTAAAAATTCTGCGTAAGGTTTCGGAGGTTCCTTCCTTATATGGAATTACTCCTGATGATTTAGATTCCTTATTGTTGGTGTCGTCATTAATATTATTATTATCACTATTATTACTATTACTATTGTTATTATCATTATTTATTTTATTTACACATTTCCTTACATATTTCCCGACTAATTTATCCGGGTAATTATTAAGTTTCAAGGCTTCTTTTATGTGTATCACTTTCTGTCTTAGATTTTCCTTGGTAATACTTAGTTTTTGTGCTCTGTCACTTAAACATTTCACCGATTTTATTTTCACTGACATAGATTGGGTGGGATGGTCGGAAGTCCAAATATCTGTTTGAATGTGTGGGTTTCTTATAAACACTCGTGTTTAACTTCCAATCTTCTTTCCTTTTTACGCTGCAATCTAACATTGCAATGTTAGATTGAAATCTAGAGAATAGTTCATCTATACCACTCACTACAGGCAGTTACGCACAACCATACAAAAAGATGGATGGGATAAGATGACAGTTTTAAAATCTAATGTAACAGTGTGGAGGGAGAGATTGATAACAGAAGCTTTGTTTATTGAATCAACTGCAAATACATGTACTAAGAATTGTATCTTTTGTCATGCTATTCAACGAATTCCTCCCTCAAGTAAATTTACTGTTTAATACGATGACTTTTTCAAAAAAGCACAGAGTCTCAAAGTAGTTTTTTTCAGAAGTGACATGAGATGAAGAACTACTAGAGATCAAAATGCTCCGAATAACTACCAAATCCTGATATCTTTCTCACTCATTCCTCTGCATACACAGCTGAAGCGGTGCAGTCTAATTACAGGTTTTAGTTGATAGCCCCATATCTAACCTACCCTCTTCACAAGGCAAACAACCAGCAAAACAGGGTTTAGAGATGTGTCTACCAGGACTCAAGCCTAGAAAACATTCACTGAACCTCTGACTCACTCGTCCTTACACAAAAATAAAAAAAAACATTTTGCACATTATACGACCACGAAATATCAAAATAAATTTTCCACGAAATATTCTTTCACTGCTTAAATGACTTCAAATTCAGCGCATACGAAAGAATTCCACACAGATAGAGAAAGGAAAATGCTAACTCTTATTACTCTCCATTTATACTGGATTATGATTATTGTTCCTTTGGGTTCCTAGTGGAACATACGGCTTCAGCTGCACGTCTCCACTTGCCACTTCTGTCTTCTGCTGCACTTTTCACCTGCATCCAAATTAGACCATACTGTTTCAAACGATCTCCTCCATGTCACTCTTGCACTGACGTCCCACTCG